CTATCACGTGCTGGTTGGTGGCAAAGCTAAACCACAGCATTTGGTGTGCTCACCGCCCATGGCCATGGTCTCTACTGGTGTTTTAATTTCCTGCCTCTTTTAGGAGACATCAGTGAGCTCCTCACTTCCAATTAGATCACCAGTACTAATTGTAACAAACCACCTCCTTCTCCAAGTCAGCTAGCCTCATCCCTCCCTGCATGTGGAAAAGATACAGAAACCAGGGAGAAAATGGAGTTTGGTTTGGGAGCGTGTGTGTGTAAGTAAAATTACATTCAGGAAATTAAAAGTCTGTGTGTGGTTTAACAGGCTCCTGAAGGGCTGCATGGGGACAAAAATGTTATAGAAATGCCATGGAAGCAGAGGTGCTCTGAACTGCCTAGGGCCTCGATCCAGAAGTTTCCATTCTCCTCTGCAAACCGATTTTTAACATTTCATTTTGCATGCTCAATAAACACTGAGCATGACACTGGGGTGGGTGATGGAATTACTCAGCCTTGATTCCAGCACCCACCACAGTGTCATGCTCAGTGTTTATTGACCTGAAATGAGGTTGGGCTGAGGCCTGGCGAGGAGATGAAACTCTCTTGGAAAGCGTCCTCGGAACAGAGATCCTAGCTTCAATGTAAAGGAGGGGTCTTGGTTCCCTACATCTCATCTATTGAGTCTCAGGCTGGATATTACCACAGCTGTTTTCATATCAACCTAATTAGTTTTCTCTGGGGGCCTGGTGGGTTCTCATGAAGTTAATTATTTTCTCTTTACATCAACCTCTTTTGTTTGTTAAGTCTTTGAAAGCATGACCTGTGTCCTTTTACTTTCCTGTGTTGAGATGGAGTCTGCCGAGTCCTCACTGGTTGTGCAGTGGCTCTTAAGATGGGTCTCTTGAGCCTCACTTTGCTCATCTGTTAAGCAGATTGAATTAGATGGTCTCTAAGACTCCTTCCAGTCTAAAGTTTCATTTTTCAACAACAGAATCTTTGTGTTATTTTTATTTTTATTTTTTGAGATGGAGTCTTGCGCTGTTGCCCAGACTGGAGTACAATGGTGCAATCTCGGCTCACTACAACCTCTACCTCCAGGGTTCAAGCAATTCTCCTGTCTCAGCTTCCCAAGTAGCTGGGATTACAGACATTTGCCACCACACCCAACTAATTTTTTTTATTTTTAGTAGAGATGGGGTTTCACCACATTGGCCAGGCTGGTCTCAAACTCCTGACCTCAAGTAATCCACCTCCCTTGGCCTCCCAAAGTGCTGAGATTACAGGCATGAGTCACTGTGCCTGGCCTTTATTTGTTTTTTAATCTTGCCACGTGGGTAAAGAATTTTGCTATGGAATGAAAGAAAGATTGGACTAAGTATGCAGTAACTTCAGTTTTTATCTTCATTTACTTTTGGTAATTGTGCGGGTCGTAGGAATGGGACATACTTTTTCAACAAACAAACTGGCCGGACATAGTGGCTCACACCTGTAATCCCAGCATTTGGGGAGGTCAAGGTGGGTGGACCACCTGAGGTCAGGAGTTCCAGAGCAGCCTGGCCAACATGGCAAAACCTCGTCTCTACTAAAAATACAAAAAGAAACATTAGCCAGGCATGGTGGCATATGCCTGTAATCCCAACTACTCAGGAGGCTGAGGCAGGAGAATCACTTGAATCCAGGAGGTGGAGGCTGCAGTGAGCCATGATCGCACCATTGCACTCCAGCCTGGGCAACAAAGCAAGACTCCATCTCAAAAACAAAACAAAAAACTAACCTTTATTTAGGACCTAATAAGTGCCAGGCACTTGCTGAGGGCTTTATGTGCATTCTCCCATTGTTGGTCACAACAACCTTGGGAACTCTAGGTATTATTAATATAGGTGAACAAACTGGGTGGGGCACCAAGGAATGTAGTAACTTGCCCATCATCACGGAGCTAATACACGATCAAATCAAGATTGAATCTAAGGCCAAGAGCTACAAGGATCCTAGTTTTTAGCCACAGTGACATCATACAAAATACATCCCTGAAGTTCTCTCCTTTTCCCGTGATTGACATCTTTCTACAGAAATTTAAGTGCAATGAAAGAGTCTAATTAATAGACATGTTTATTGAACAGTGCAGAAGCAGGAGGTATCAGGATAAGACTTTCCACTTCCATGGAAAGTGCATATGGCTGCTGAACACGGGCTTTAGGTGTCTTGTGAGCAGTCAGTGCCAATAAGGAAGAAGTTCATGCGGGGGCAGAAGAATTCCCCCTGGGAGGTGATTCTGCAGAACTCAGCCATTCACAGGTCTTGGGAGATTTTGTTCCCTTCAGGGTACGTCAGCTTCACTTGCTGAAGTAGGACAAGTAGAATGAATTAGCCCTGGCTGAAGCCAAAATTCTTTATATTTAAAAGAAGAAAGGCAGTTAAATATTCAGCCCGATCCTGGGTTTTGAATTACCCCATTTATCTTTCACTCTGAGCATCTGCTTTTTATTGCACTGTGGCCCTGCCTGCCATTTATCTCCCCGTCAGTCTGTATCCACGTGTCATGGGACTCAAAAGTGAAGATTAGAGGAGAAAAATATCTCTGTATTCTAAGCCTGGCAACTTCTATTTTTATCCTCAGCTGTTGGAGCTGATAGCAAAGTCACAGCTCACATCCCTGAGTGGCATCGCCCAAAAGAACTTCATGAATATTTTGGAAAAAGTGGTACTGAAAGGTGAGCCTTCTCTCAATCTCTTGCCCCTTTTAATAGGCATGGGGGAGGGCAGATGGGTTTTCCAATGGAGTGGACATGTCATTTGATTTAAAGACATGTGAAGGGATGGAAATGAGTAACTCCAGCTACATTTCAGAAGCACTAGATTCCAATTCAGAAAGGGGTGCAACTCATCCTCATGACAAAGGGTGAGACCGTCACCTCCTGTCCTTTCTTTGGGATCATCAACTTGCCCTACTATAATCCTCGTAGGTTTCTCAGTGTAGGCACAGGTCCCAGTGCTGGCTATGGAGCCTCCAGGTTCCAAATTCCTAGAAAATCGACCTGTGTACAAAGTCAGAATAGATTCATAGACTATTTGAGCTGGAAGGAACGTTAGGTCTCTGGTTCAACTGTCTCATTGTACACATGGGGAAACTGAGGCCCATCAGAAGAAGTGATTTGTCCATAATCACACAGAGTCAGCCAGACAGGATTAGAACCCAGGCTCCAAACCCCTGGAACTGTGCTCCTTCCACTGACTGTCCTACTGGGGGGTCACTTCTGGGCAAACAGAGCGGCCTTCTGATCAGGTGAGCCATGGCTGCTGGGAGAACAATGAAAAGAGAAAGAGGCTTTATAAAAAATGAGAGAGAAGTGAACAAAGAGGGACCTAGATAATGGAAACTCTACCCCTTAACCTCAAGTGCAGAAGCTTGGCCAAGCGTACAATAAACACCGGTGAGAAAGAAAGCCATATCCCCAGAGGCAGTGCCTGGGTAACGTGAGCAGAATAGAGACAGAGAAAAAAGCTCATGTTTAAAATACAGGGTGTTCCAGAATCGTAACTTCAATTATTTTTTTCTTCCCTACTCAAGTCCTTGAAGACCAGCAAAACATTAGACTAATAAGGGAGCTACTCCAGACCCTCTACACGTCCCTATGTACACTGGTCCAAAGAGTTGGCAAGTCTGTGCTGGTCGGGAACATTAACATGTGGGTGTATCGGATGGAGACGATTCTCCACTGGCAGCAGCAGCTGAACAACATTCAGATCACCAGGGTAAGCCGGCCCAGCCTCCTCCCACAGAGGGTCCCTCCAAGAGACACTGGACAGCCTCGCCAAGACTTTGAATTCACTCCCGTGACGGAAGAGTCTGGTCTTTTCTGATCTGCTGCCTTGTCCTGGTGCTGAGGGTGGGCTGGGGGGACCTCCTGATATAGGGAGGTGGGAAGAAAAACTTGGCAAAACAGGATCAAAGTACATGAAAGATGACAGCCTGGTGAACCGTCGTGGGAAAGCTGGAATCTTGGCTTTTGGGGAGATAGATGCTGGCTGTCCTGCTGAAATCTTTAGCGGGGTTCAGCAATCTCTCTTTGCTCATTTCCTCCTAAAGGATGAGTTGTTTGCAGCTTTAGGTTGCTGTCTTGAATACAACAGAGCTGGGAAGGCAGCGGCTTGGAGAACTGGTACCAGCCTTTTAAAATCCTAGTTCTGATTATTGGTAGTTATGACAAAGGAAGCCTTTGATTAAAGACTGTGAGCTTACATGTGGGAAAAGGATGAGCAAGTCTCAAAGCACAAAGAAAAGGCCCTGTATTACCAGTGAAGTTTGGCGACCTGTCGCAGTCATTTTGTTTGGCTTTCACAACATAACTTGGCCCTCAGCTCTTCTCCTCCTATTAGCGAGCAGGAGGACCCAGGCACAAAAAACAGTAATGGGAGGAAGACACTGGTGTAATCTCTTAGGACTCACTAATGCACAAACACAGTCAGGCGGCTCATGAAACACTTTGCTTACTTATCTCATCACTGACCGTAGCTGGCTCAAGTGGTTTCCGGGACCCACACTGATACAGTTTGAGGTTGCCCCCTAGCAGGAGAAGGTAGCAGGAAGAAATCCCTTGACTTCTTTTAAATAACTCTTTTACTAGATGAAGTTTTTAAAATGCATGTCCATGACTTTACTGGTAACGACCTCTCTATACCTTCCCTTTTGAAGCTGCGAAACAGAGTAAGTTGAAGCCTCAGAGTTATGTGACTTCCTTAGAGTCACTTAGGCTACGACACCTACACGCTGCACCCACAGACACACACGCACAGGGCAGAGCACAGATGCAAGTCATCTTTCAGAAACTGTCTCAGGTATTTGATTTTTTTAAGAGAATGTGGGCCAGACACGGTGGCTCACGCCTGCAATTCCAGCACTTTGGTAGGCCGAGGCAGGTGGGTCACAAGGTCAGAAGATCGAGGTCAACTGATCAACATGGTGAAACCCCGTCTCTACTAAAACTACAAAACTTAGCCAGGCATAGTGGCACACACCTGTAGTCCCAGCTACTTGGGAGGCTGAGGCAGAAGAATCACTTGAACCTGGGAGACAGAGGTTGTAGTGAGCCTAGATCGCGCCACTGCACTCCAGCCTGGGCAAAAAAAAAAAAAAGAGAATGTGCATATTTATTATGAAAACTAACCCAATTCATTCTAATAACGTACCCCATTTCCACAGCTCAAGTGTAGGCACATAGTCTGACCATGTAAATGTGAGACCCAAGTTCCCAGCTTCTCTCACGGAAACCCACATACACTTTCTACCTGATTTCTGCCATTCTGTATGACCTGGACTGACTGACTGGGATTATTCTAAGGCCAGGAGAGAATTGCCCAGCCAGTGATATCAACAAGCAGGTCCATATTTCCCAAGGCATCTTCCCTTTAGCAACTTCAGAACACCCATTTAGATGGTCACGCTTGGCCAGGCGTGGTGGCTTATGTCTGTAATCTCAGCAATTTGGGAGGCCAAGGCAGGTGGATCACCTGAGGTCAGGAGTTTGAGACCAGCCCAGTCAACATGGTAAAACCCCATCTTTACTAAAAATGCAAAAATTAGCCAAACGTGGTAGTACACATCTGTAGTCCCAGCTTCTTGGGAGGCTGAGGTAGGAGAATCACTTGAACCCGGGAGGTGGAGGTTGCAGTGAGCCAAAATCATGCCACTGCATACCGAGCCTGGATGATGGAGCAAGACTCCGTCTCAAGGAAAAGAAAACCTCTAGATGGTCACACTTGCCCAGAGTTTGCCTCTGTTCCCTCTGTCCACCTCTAAGGACCCCTCTTGGCCACATCTGCTCGTATACCCCGCACTGCCATAGGCTTATATCCTCAGAGCCCCCTTAGCTCATCCACGAACACCGTTCTGAGGCAACTATTATAGCTGCTGTCACCCCTCTTGGAGTGGAAGTGCAGTGGGGACCAGAGATGCCCAGTGACGTTCTTAGCTATACACAGCAGTTAGGGCCGGAGCTGAAGCCGGAACCCTGGACTCCGTATTCCTAAAATGGCAAAGCTTGCTCAACATCAGTGGTTTCCAAACTTTTTCAGTCCAGCTTTCTTCCAGCTATTTATCAAATGATCTAGCTTTTTAAAAGACCCTCTTGAATCCAATGAGATCCTATGAAGAAGAGATCAAACACTGAAGTTCACTCACTACTCTTCTGCATGAACAGCTCCAGCCAAACCAAGCTATTCTCTGCATATGCCAAAGTTGGCCCTGCCTCGGGGCTTTGAAGGTTGCTGCCTTCCTTGACCCTCCAATCTATGGACATCACCATACGTCACTATCATGTCACCTTCTTCTGAGCAGTTATGATCTGAAATTGTCTTGTGTGTGCACTTTTCTGTCTCTGTCCACTGGCTTATAAGCTCCACAGAGAAAGTACATTACCCATCTATTCCCTGTTTCTGGCACAGAGCAGGAGACAGTCAGCAAATCTGAGTTGAATTAATGAATGGTTGAAATACTCCTCCCATTCCCTGCCTGAGTACTTGTTCACTCGTTCAATGGTCAAAGGAACACAATTGGAAAATATGGCCCTGTATTATGAATGATGATAATAATTTACCAACTGCAGGATTTCTTTTTTTGAGGCAGGGTCTCTGTCACCCAGGCTGGAGAGCAGTGGTGCAATGTCAGCTCACTGCACCCTCCACCTCCTGGATTCAGGCTATTCTTCCACCTCAGACTCCCCAATAGCTTGGATTACAGGCATGCACCACCATGCCTGATGATAATTTTTGTATTTTTTAACAGAGATGGGGTTTCACCGTGTTGGCCAGGCTGGTCTCAAACTCCTGACCTCAAGTGATCCACCCGCCTCAGCCTCCCAAATTGCTGGAATGACAGGCATGTGCCACCATGCCCGGCCCCAAATGCAGGATTTGAAGCAAGTTATGCAGTCTCTCCATGCCTCACTTTCCTCATTTGGAAAATAGTTGCAACAGTATGTATGCATAGCCGTGGTGTGAGATGTAATCAGTTAATATATAGAAAGCAGATGGCGCAGTGCCAAATGCACAGTAAGTCTTGTAAGTGTGTCGGCTGTTATGACTAAGGGCTGGCTCTGTGCAGGCGCTCGTCTAAGTCCTTTACATGTATTAATTAACTCACCTAGTGAAGAATTGTAAATAGGAGTCGTGACAGTGGCTAGCATTTATTGGGCACTGCACTGAGTGCCTTTATGTATTATCTCATCCGCCCCACCCAGGAACACTGTAAGATAAGATTTTTTTCACGTTCTAAATAAGAACAATTAGACCAAGGGGTTAAGATAATTTGGCTGAGGCCTCCTGCTCGGTAGGACGTGATACAAGGACTGACTCCAGGTCTGTCTACAGAGGCTGTGCTTTCAGTCACTGCACCTGCCTCCCACTGTCCTCCATCCCAACCCTCCTTGGCTCTGAGCTTCCTTATATTGAGAGCTGTGCTGGAAACAACAGAGCTTTAAAGGGCTTTTCTTTTTTGGTTTTTTGGTTTCGTTTTGTTTCGTTTTGTTTCATTTTGTTTTGTTTTGCTTTTTGAGACAAGGTCTTATTCCCATTGCACAGATTCAGGTGATTCTCCCACCTCAGCCTCCTGAGTAGCCAGGACTATAGGCGCTTGCCACCACACCAAGCTAATTTTTGTATTTTTAGCAGGGACAGGGTTTCACCATCTTTCCCAGGCTGGTCTCGAACTTTTGGGCTCAATCAATCCTCCCACTTTAGCCTCCCAAAGTGCTAGGATTACAGGCATGAACCACTGCACCCAGCCTCCACACAGATGCTCAACCCTCCAGAGGAAAGTGAAATTGAGAGAGAGAGAAAGAGAAAGGAGTTAAGTACTTCAGTCTGGACTGTATTTTACAACTTACTTTTTTTTTTTTAACAGTTTGACCCAAAGACAAGTATGTTATTACATGCAAATATGAAGTCGACTTTCAGAGTAAATGCTTTCTATTTTGCCAAAGTTCTATCAGTCTCCTCCCAGCATAAAATCTTGTTTTCCTGCAAAATTTTCATATCTAATTCTATGGAGTCAACTTTTATTGGCAAAATAATTAATATAATAAAGAAGGAAGGAAAAAAATTAAGAGAACTGGGTCCTTAGGGGGAAAAAAATCAGGTGCAATGACAGTAACTGGTGGGTGGGGCACTGTTTTGAAGCATGTGAGCGGTGACATAGACCCGAGTGGATGTCAGCCAAATGCTTGACTACAGGAGCGAGAGTGACTAATTTTTCTTGTATATGTTTAGATTCGAAAGGAAGAGGCATGTAAGCAGTTAACCACTTATCAGGAGGAAGGGCTCAGCCTGGGTTCTGGGCAAGGATTTTGGAAAAGTTCAGGTTTGAAAATTTGACAGAGTGAACTCTGCCAAGTGGATTTGCCTTTAATAGGAGTTAATGTAATAATTGGCCTGGGAGTTTTAACCAAAAAAGTAGAGGCTTTGAAGTGCTGGAAACGAAAAGAAAATCTCATGGCAGTTTTATTAGCTCATATGATCAGCAGCAGATGATAAACGATAAATAGGTCTAGGGCCTTCTGCAGTTGGCAAAGACCCGAAGCTTGCAAACAATGTAGAGTTCTGTCCCGCAGCCTGGGGTAGAACCGAGGGGTAGAAATTGTCAAATCATAGATACTTTGAATGAAATAGGAGGCTGAAGTCCTTCTACATCTGAGATTGTTGGAGCCAGGAGGGATCTTCAGAGTCTCCTAAGCCATTCATTTTGGACATGGGGAAACTTCCCAGGGGAGCTGGGATGCGGATGTGCTGCCTGTCCATCTTGTCCCTCCCCTGCACCTCCCATTCTTCTCCACGGCTCAGCCACTTCAAGCCCCCTTGCCACTGCTCCCTCCCCACCTCGGGCCTACCCTGCCTTGCTGGGATAGAATTGCCCAGACCAAGTGTCTCCTGGAATCCTCCATGTGTTTGGGCTTCAATGTGCTTCGTACAGAGTTTGGCTCCTGTAAAATGTGAGGAGGGAAATTGATACCTACTCTCAGGATATTTTCCCCTGAGCTAAGTACGGGTTTCTTCATCCTGTATTATTTTTTCTGTGACCTCTCAAAGGTCACAGAACATTGATGTAAAAATGTAAGTAGTCCAAAATCAAGATCTCACCCAGAACCAGCAGGGTCAGGACAAGGAACCGCAGTCCCAGGTGGTCTGTTGACTGATCTGGATGGCAGCAGCCTGTTGCTATTCGAGGCACATCAGCAAATAGATTTGCAGATCCTCGGGTCCAGATTCTTCCCACAGCGCTTTGTGCTTCCCTCCATGACACCATTTACTGTATTATTTTATGTTACTTTACAGTTATTTGTTTCTGCTTCTGGGTCTCTCACCAGCCAAGAGCTGATTGCAGCAGCCTTAGCTCTAGGCCATAGGAGGCACTCAGGTGGTTGGTGCTGCGCTAGTCTACAAGGGACACAAGGTGACACAAAGTGAGACCCCGCCTTCAAGGATGATGTATCTGGGCAGGGTATCATGAGCTCATCAAAATGTAAAACAATAAAGGCTTAAAAAGTTCAGGGATGTACCAGAAGCTCTTGGAGAAGCTTGTGATTAATTGCTAAGATATTATCCACAGACCACCAGTTTTCAAAATGTTCCACGAAGCCCCAGGTTGGAATAGAGATGTCTCAAGGGAGGGTGGAGCTTGGGCCAAAGGGTTCTGGACCTTCCATTCCCAATGTACACGTGCGCACACACACATACACACACACACACACACACACACACACACACCCCAGCACAGAGTCTTTGTGGTGTTGCTTTCTACCTATTTAATTATTTGGGCTTCGTTTATTCCACAGATATTTGTTGAGTGCCTTCTATGTGCTGGCCACTCTTGTAGACACCCAGGACACAGTAGTGAAAAAAGATTAAAATTCCTACCTTCATAGAGCTGAAGTTCCAGCAAGAACATTCCCTTCAAAGTTTCTTTTGGGGAAAAAGTTCATGTTCATGACAAAAAGGATATTGCAAAAAGTGTCTGGAAAAGATCCCAAGAATCCTAGGAAGGTGCAGTGAGTAAAGGAGTAAACATGAACGGCCTTTCAGAGGAAGTGGGTTTGAACTAGATCTGAGCAGGAGGACCATGTGG